TTCTAAATGAACTTCAGAGTATATTTTCCTCCGACCAGATTTTGTGGTTACCATTAATATCCCTGCAGACTTCCCGTAGTTAAAAGAAGAAGAAGCAGCAGCAGCATGTGACCCCAGGAAACTAAAAGAAAGTAATCTGCGGAAAGGAACTAGAGTTGCAAACAGCTTTGGCAGATTAAAAGGATATATTGAACAGAATGTTTTGCTTTGTCATTTTTGGAGGGGAAGGGGACCCCCTGTGTTTGGAACCAACTGGAAGCTGTATCTGCAGAGCATGCAACAGAAAAACACAAGTCCATTCTGCCTGTAGTCTGAGTGCAAATGCAACTTTGATCCAAAAGTGAAGTGACCAGGCTAGGGACAGCTAATGCACTATTTTGGGTGACTGCCAGGAAGCGATAATTGTCTTTGTTAACAGCACTGGTCGTTAAGAGTTTTATTCTAAAACCAATAACCTAGTCAAATCCTGTTTTAAGAACAAGTATATATAAAAAAATAACATGAATATTTGTATATACCTGTGTATGCATATATGTACACAGATGTCCATTTGTTTGTATATATATATAAATTCTTTTGAATAGATCATGACAATGTTGCACATATTATTATGGAAGATCATAAGCAAGGCTAGTTGTGTAAGGAAAAAATATCTTGTTAGAACAACTGGTATGAGAGGGAGCAAGGCACAGACAGGTGTTTAGGCCGATTACCCCTTCCAGACTGAAGATCTGGTTGTGTCTGAATGCTAATCTGTTCTGTCCACCTATGCTACCAGACTGCGTTACTTGAGAAATGCTGTCACTTTAACTTCATTATTTTCTCTTGACATGACTAGCTGTTTAATGTTAAACGTTTATGACCCTTTCTGGGGATCTGCACTGTTGTGATTATACAAACTAAGCAAAAAATATAAAAGCTAGCCTGTAACCAGAATTTCGTTTTTTGCTGTCTTGTCATAATTCATTTCTTCTGTATACCAGAAGTTTGTGCTGAAGACTGGTACATACTCACACACACCTTCCCTATGGTGGTCCTGTGCTCTGTCTTTAAGTCAAAGAGCAACTGTAAAAACTGGTCTGAAATACCTATATTAGCTATGATACACTCTGTTTATTTCTGAAATGTACCTGTTACTGTGCATAAGGAATGGAGCTGTCATACATGAGATTTTATTGTGTTTAGTCTCTTTAGTTAAATCATCTTGGAACTGATTTGTTTACTCCAGCAGTTACATAGGTTGCAGCTACATAAGTGAGTATGAACTAATGTGATTTTCTCTGGGCTAAAGCAGAAATGTCACAGTGACGTTTTTGTGTTATCAACCAGATGATTAAGTAAACTATCTTAAAGAAAGATGACACTTTGTGGACTACTTTTTAATGTTTGCTTTAGGAAAAGCACACTCTTGAGATGGGAGACTTGGGACCACATGGTAGCTTTGAGGAGGAGGACTGAAAAAATGCAAAGAATTACTGCCAGTAAGGCTGCTCCACAGAAAAGTTGAAGCTGTGGGTGTATTTAGAGAAAAAAATGATTTCATGTGAACTGAATCTGAAATATATGAGGTGTCTACTTTATCTAAAGGGACTGTTCATTAGAGGCATATTGGTGCTAGCTCTGTTAAATGTTTCCTTAATCAGCCTTTTGGGAAATTTGCTGTCTCCAAGCTTGCTGATATTCAGCAAGTTGCTGAAGTCTGTAGTTGCATGTGAGAAGTTGGGTAATTTACTGCGTTCATGACAGTGTAGTTGCTGAGCAAATGGTTTATAGTGATTTATGGGTGGGCGTAGAGGAACTGGCTTGAGCAGGAGGGCTATGAAATGGTCAATCAGTTTTCAGAACCTCACATCTGAAACAATGGTAGATGGGCAGTATTGTTAAAACTGTGAATGGTGAATCTGTTTTGTACAGTACCAGGTTATCTATGTTAAATCCTATAATACTGGATTGAGGGTAATTCAGAAGTCATTCTGGGGACTGGGGAAGGAGACTGGGAATATTTATGAGAGTTACGTAGACAGTCTGTTACTAGCAAAGCTTGACATATCTTTGTGTTGGATTGACCATGTCCAGTAACTAAGCACTCACCAGCGTCTCGCTCACTTCCCTCTCCCCCTCCAGTGGGATGGGGGAAAGAATTTAAAGAACAAAAGTGAGAAAAACTCATGAGTTGTAATAAAGACAGTTTAGTAAGTGAAGGAAAGAAAGAAAGAAACCAGGTCATGCAAAGTCGGTCACTCACCATCTCCCGCTAGTAGACCAATGCCCAACCAATCCCCAAGAGATTTGGAAAGACCAAACCCACAGGTTTTATTGCTGAGCACAACATTATATGGCAGGTATGACCCTTTGGTCAGTTCTGGTCAACTGTCCAAGTTCTGTCCTCTCCAAAAATCTTTTCTAGCCCCAGCCTACATGCTGAGGGCACAGAGTGAGAAACAGAAGAGGCCGTGATGCTGCACAATCACCGTTCAGCAACAGCTGAAACACTGGTATGCCTGCAACTCTGTTCTACTCACAGGTACAGAACACAGCACCATACTGGCTGCTATGAAGTATCCCAGCCAGAACCAGTACAGTCTTCTGCAGTATCTAACAGAAAATACATTGAAGTAACTTTTTGAACAACTGTACCAGATCAGTATAATTTAGGATATTGAGAAGATGGCATTTGAGTATGGAAAGAATGATGTACTTCATCCCTTTGTACTCTGCACTGGTGAGGCCGCACCTTGAGCACTGTGTTCAGTTTTGGGCCCCTCGCTACAAGAAGGACATTGAGCTGCTGGAGCATGTCCAGAAAGAGTGACAAAGCTGGTGAAGGGTCTGGAGGAAAAGTCTTATGAGGAGTGGCTGAGGAACCTGGGGTTGTTTAGTCTGGAGGCTGAGGGGAGACCTTATCGCCCTCTGCAACTGCCTGAAAGGAGGTTGTAGCGAGCTGGGGGCGAGTCTCTTCTCCCTGGTAACTAGAGATAGGACAAGAGGAAACGGTCTCAAGTTGTGCCAGGGGAGGTTTAGGCTGGATATTAGGAAGAATTTCTTCACTGTAAGAGTCGTTAGGCATCGTAACAGGCTCCCCAGGGAGGTGGTGAACTCACCATCCCTGGAGGTGTTCAGAAAACGTTTAGATGTGGCACTTCAAGACATGGTTTAGTGGGTTTAGCAGGCATGGTGGCATCGGGTATATGACTGGACTTGATGATCCTTGAGGTCTCTTCCAACCATAATGATTCTATGTTTAGATTGTACTCTTGGCAAAACAAGATACAATCTTTCAATCCTGAGAATACTGATTCCATTCCAGTCCATTGTGGATGAACAATACAGGTGCTATATTTCTGTATAATGATTGTGGAGTTGGAGAGTAGCATAAAATGTCTGTTGTCTAGCATAACAGATCTTACTTGTTTTCTTCCTTATTTCTCAACTGAGTGAAGATGTTAATATTTTCGATATATTGTATTGTCTTTTTTGAATTAATAATGTGAAAGTTAAGATGTTAGTGCCCTATGGAAGAAAAGCATATAATATGCATGTATATATGACATCATGGCACACATAATGTAGAGAAGTACACTCAAATTATATACAAAGGAAAGTGTTTTCCGAATGCATGTATTAAAGCAGTGACATATCTGCATGTAGTGTGCTTGATTAGTACAATTAAAGGATGTAAGAACATGTGATAAAATATGACACAAATTACACGCTAGACATTGTATCCCTATGACTTAGTGGTTTCAAGCATGCATGCCCTATGTTGGTACTATGGCAAAAGTTCATCTAGGCAGAGGTCTTCCTGTGGAAGTGATGAAACTGGAAGTGTGTCTGTTGTATCAGACATTTAGTGGTGCTGAGGTGCTGTTGGAAAGGGCTGGAGAGTTGATTAGGTCACAAACTAGCATTATCTTCTCACAGTATGGATGGAAGTAGCTTCTGGCTCTCCACACTAGATATTACGGTTAAACATGGAATCATCTTCAGTGTGTCAGAGTGCATTTTCAGTATTTTTACTTGTTTTATGTGAAGAATAGGAGGTCACACGGATTTTTTTTTGCTGACACTTGTGGTGTTTCAGATGCAGAGAAAGAAGCAACAGCCTTAGGCCTCACCTGGTATCTCATCTTCTTGTGGAAATTTGAGTAAAACAGTGGCTTAAAAAGTTTGTCTGTTAAAGAAAACATGAAGCCAGTTAACTTCAACATATCTGTGAAATGCAGCACTGTTAATATTCCACTGTGCTTTACCATTAACACTTCGGTGTGTATGTGTCAACCACCACAAGTAAGTTAGAAAGTAGGACTTAGTGCTTAATGTGTGTTTTTTATTTCAGTATTTTTTTCAAATTTTTGCTCTTTATGTTATTCTACAATAAGTGGTTGACTGTGAACTTGTCACCTTCATCTAATATGGGTTTAAATAATTTGGAAGTTACAGTTTCAGTTAAGTTCAATATTTAAACTCTCAGACATTTATATAGCAGCTTGCTACACAAATCAGGTGTAGTGTGCATAAAAGTTAAAAGTCCACAAGCCTTTTTCCAAATGATGCACATCTGAAAATTTTAGGTCACCCAAGTAATCATAATAAGGATAATTTGGGGTGAATGCTTAGCTGCCTGGATCTGCTCAGTAGCTTAGAGTAATTGTAAATGGAAATAGATTTGTGTCTTGCTTCTTTGAATAATGAGAAGCTATCCCCAAGACTTGTCGTAGTAGCTGTGTTTCTTCTCGTTGTTTTCAAGTCTTGTCGTTGACTAGCATTCCTGTTAATAGTCTGCTTATATACCTTGATCAGGTTCCCACTTGAACTTCATTGAAAGTATTAGTATAGTATTTTACTGGGTTTTTTTTACTAATTATTTTAAAAGATTTGTCCTAGATATGTAAGGTGGATTTTTTGTGTGTTTTTTTAACCCTTTCATTGCTTTCAGCCTGCTATTTAGAGTTTGATTTTGAAGAAAATGAGTAATCTTTTTAATCATTTTTGCCTTGTAGGTTAATCTCCGAGCCACTGATGTGAAGCTTATGCGCCAGCTACTCATCATCAATGAGAGTATCGAATCAATCAAGTGGATGATTGAAGAGAAGGCCATTGGCAGCAGAGGTAGCAGTTTGAGTGGCAGCCTGTGCAGCTTGCTGGAAAGTCAGGAGACATCCCTCCATGGCAGCTGTAACAGTTTACAAGACTGTAGTGATGGACTGGATGGAATATCAGTGGGGAGTTATTTGGACACCTTAGTGGATGATGTCCCTGGTCACCAAACCCCTTCAGATATGGACAAGTTCAGTGATTCTTCTATTATGGAGGACTCACAGCCTCCGCATAAGCATCCCAAAATTGATTCTGATGAGTACTACTGTTTTGGTTAATAAGAACAAGTTCCAGTGGGACATAAATGCACTTGTGCTTATCCTTTTTCTTTGCTGCTATTTTATTTCATGTGCAAAATTCCCAAACTTCTCTTGGAAGGAAAACATAATATGGTACTTTCATTCCACTTCATAACTTTTCTGTTGCTTCTAATACATTTTGTCCTTGATGGGTTGGGCTTTCCTCCTCCTCACCTTTTCTTTTTCTTAATTTATTATCACAATTTTTCTTTTTTTTTTGTTTTAATTTTTTACAATGCTGTATTTACAGATCTTTAAAAGTGGTGAAGGAAAAGCTTTATCTTTAAAATGAGACATCAGGGAATGAGAGCAGCAATTTTGTATTTGTTGGCAATAAAATATCTTCTGATAAATAGACATTGTGGTAAATTTTCTTGACTACCAGGTTTGGCCTTTCCAAAGACACTGTTCTTATTGAGCCTTAAATCAGAATTTTGAAAATACCTCTACAAAATAATTTCATTTTGTAAGCAATGATATTTGGTTCTGTTAAGCTGTCTTCACTTGGAATATAAAGTATCCTGAACTTTTCTGTGTGGGGTTTCTTTCTTCTTGAATGTTCTCGTCCTTCTTGTCTAATTATGATTTTAAATTCTGGGCTTCTTTGGTATGTTACAGTGATGCATTCCAATACTGGAAGTTCTGCGTAAAGAGTATATTTCGGTTTTGTACTTCATACCTTTCATTTTCATAGAACCTGCTATTTTACAGGCGCAATCTATATCTGTAAAAAAATGAAAGAGGCATCCCACAAATACCCAATTCTAATAGTTTGGATACTGAACCAAAATTCCTCAGCAGACTGATTTTAAAAATATAATTTAAAGTCTTGACAATTTTTACCTTGAAATTTTGACGGATTTAGGGGGCACTGGTGAAACATTTTACAGGAGGTAACATACTAGAAGGCATGTCCTGTTTTGCTTTTGTATGCACACCCTAATCCTTAACAAGTTTACTTTGTTTTTACCAAATATTATTACTAAGAGAAAGTGTGTCCTGCTGTCTTTTTTCTGCCTGTTTTACAAATAAGAGTTTGCTTTAACCTTTTTGTTCTTACTGGTACAGTTGGGAGCTGTGGCTAGTCATTCGTATTGGAAGCATCTGAGAAGAAAAACAGGAACTGCTATGTGGAAAGTCTCTGGCTTTTAGACTTCTCTGGCTCATGCTTTTGTGCAGAAGATTAGGAGGCAGGTTTTTCTTTTAGTTGCTTCAGAATCATAAAGGAACAAGATTTTATGCTTCTTCAGTAAAGAAAAAATAAGAATAAAATAAACAGAATTTAACCAGACACTTTAACAGATTAGTGAACATGTATACCCAGATTACAGATAGTGAAAGAGATGTTGATACTTATACATCATCTAAAAATGTCCTACCATGCCTGTATTCCTACTGCCAATAAAGCATGGAATTCCCCCACCAAAGAAACTAATGTTTTCCAAGTATAATACAAGCTCCCTTTTTAAAATATATTTTAAATATTTAATAATATATTTAAAATATATTTTGCACATTCTGAAAGCTAGTATATGCAGGAGTCAACCTCTGTTGATTTGGTTCATTTTGAGACAAAGTAGTAGTCCAATTAGGTTCTGCTTTTCCAAGCGATGTTTCCATGGATCTGTCTTGTCCAGCCTTGGTCAACATCAAATGTGGAGAAAAGGTAAAAAATCAAGAAATTGAAAGTGGGAATTTGTGCTTTGTGGTTAGCTCTATTACTTCTCAATACAGTAGATGTCTGTGTCCCTCACAATTAAAAAACAAGATATGTGTATGTTGCTTCGGGCATCATGATTTATTCAAATACAATGAGAATGAAGAATCATGTGGTTACCAAGAAGGAGGCTTCTCAGTTGAACTTCTGAGATCAACCAGGATATTATAGATAACTTGAAGGAAAACAGAGGCAAGCCCTCAAATGACAATGCTGTGCTGACTTAACATTTTTAGGTTTTTTAATATCTTCCCTAGCTTAAGACTGCTGGACATAGTTTGAAAAAAATATTTGAAGAAAAAATTATTTCTCAATGTACCATTAAATAGAATATCAACTGTGAATTCAAAATAGGTTTTATTCCTTTACTTTAAATTGTTTGAATCTGGGGAACAGAACTAACTCCCTGGTGTAAACCTGTGACTTTCTTGAAAGTTTTTCTACCTTCATTGCTTGGCGTGGAACTTAAACATCAGGATGCATACTCCCGCTAAATGTAATGAATGTGCTATATATATACAGCCTTTTCTTCTCCAACTGAGATTTTGGGCAGTAGGCCAAGACACACATAAAATTTTTCTACTATGAAGGAAATTCAAAAATGTTCTTAAATGTACCTTCTCAAATATCCCCTAGCGTTATGCTGATATTACTTCAAGGAAAATACAGACTGTAGCTGTCACCTACCCACTCATGACTGTAATGCTGGATAAAGAGTAATTACATCAGTGATAGATTTATCATATTATGATTAAAAAGTCCATTTAAATGGGAATCAAAGCTGGCAGAAAAAAACCCTACTACTACAAGTGGTGAAATAAAAACTGTATGTGATTAGAAACTTTTATTCCTGTATGTCTCTTGACTGTGAGTGGAGAAAGAGTACAAGTGACCAAATAGAGATGCCAGGAGATGGTTGGAAGGAAGCAAGAATTTCCAGGTGTTTTGTTTCTTATATCCAGGAACACAAACACCTTGGGTTTTATTTTTGAAGCATAAAAACTTCAAAGATTTAGGTTTGACTTAGATTCCTTAATTGCATTAATAGGACTTCATAGCCAAAAGATAATAATTTACTCTGACTTACTGTGTAAGATAGAGCATGAAATTTTATTATCTCCTAAAATGAATCCAGTAACTTACAACTGAACTACAACTTCACTATTTAGACAATGGAAAATATTTAATGGTCGTTAAAAAAATATTCCCATTGGGTAATTAATTTGCTTTTATACAGCTTGCATATTTATTCCAGTTTCCTCTTGACTTGGTCAACCTTGGTCTTGCAAAATATTTGTCCAGTTAAAAGGAATCTGGATGCCTGTTTCTAGCATTTTGCAGAGCTGGGTTCTTTTTTCCCTTGGGTTTCCTTGTAATTTTTTCCCTGATCTACAGAACCGAAAAACAATACTCAGTAATACAGGACAGAGTATCTGAAAGCACTTTACAAAGCTATGTCTGTGTGAAAAGGATGAAAGCAACAGAATTTTTTTTAAAAAGTGGAAAAATAGCAAATATAATTAATTTCTTCTCTGTCATTTTCTATCATCTTGGCTCTTCTGTCATTTAGCTTCCTTCCAGGCATGACAAACAATTCCAAGACAATTTATGAAATCACAGACAACAAGCAACACCCAGTCCATTCCTTTTTCCATACTGCTGAAGTTCTGTCTTTGAAAGACATGCCACTATGTAAGCTGTGTAATTCAGAGACAATAAGGGACAGTCAAAAAAGATGAATTCAGTATGTTTTCTGTTTTAAAATAACTGTTTCCTGGTAATAATAGGAACCAGCTAGTAAATGGATGTGCTCTGATTCACAAACAAGCTACTGAAAGAGGAAAAAAAAAAGCTCAAACTTTCACATCTGAAAACTGTGGTGCTTTAAATATTCTGCCAAGACAGTCTAGCTGTGAAGTTTTGTTTCACTTTCAAAAGAGCAATTAAATCTCTCTGCCAACTGCCAGGTCTAGTAATGATTTCAAAGTTGCATAACTGTTTGTTTCTCCACAAATGCTATGAGAGGACGAAGAACCAAGCAGGAGCTCTTGGATCCATCAGTAGACCAGAAACATACTAGGACACTGAAGACAGAACAACATCTCTGCCTTTGGAAGTTGTGCTACCATGATCCTGCGAATTGAAACAGGATGGTAAAAAAAGGCAGAAATTTGGTGTATCTTGTTAAAATGAGCCCTGACTTTTGAAGGGAGTGGTGAAATACTGGAAGTACTGTCAAAATGTTTAAAAGTCTGAAGTTTCAAAAATCTTTCTCTGCATTTCACTTTGAAAAAAAGAACTGGTTAGTCAAGGCGGGTGAAGTGCAGTCTGAAATAATGTCTGGTTACACCATGTAGCTGTATCTCATATAACCCTATATAATCAACTGAGAAACTGTGTGTGTGTGTGGGGGGGGGGGGG